ACGTATGTCCTGTGCATAAAAAGCAGGACTAATCCAACCCAGCCAATTCCCGCCCCATCAGTCTCCTCTCAATCATCAGTAAAGTGATGGAAGGTGACATCAACAGCGCTATCACACAGCACCTGCTCAGCAATAACCTGCTCAGAGACGCACAGTTTGGGTTCCGCCAGGGCCACTCAGCTCCTGACCTCATTACAGCCTTGGCTCAGACATGGACAAAAGAGCTGAATTCCAGAGGTGAGGTGAGAGTGACAGGCCTTGATATCAAGGCTGCATTTGACCGAGTGTGGCATCGAGGAGCCCTGGCAAAACGGGAATCAATGGGTATCAGGGGGCAAACTCTCCAGTGATTGGAGTCATATCCGACACATAGGAAGATGGTTGTGGTTGTTGGAGGTCAGTCATCTCAGCTCCAGGACATCTCTGCAGGAGTTCCTCAGGGTAGTGTCCCAGGCCCAACCATCATCAGCTGCTTCATCAATGACCTTCCCTCCATCATAAGGTCAGAAGTGGGGATGTTCACCGATGATTGCACAATGTTCAGCACCATTCGTGACTCCTCAGATACTGAAGCAGACCATGTTCACATACAACAAGATCTGGACAATATCCAGGCTTGGGCTGACAAGTGACAAGTGGCAAGTGACATTCGTGCCACACAAATGCCAGGCTATGGCCATCACCAATAAGAGACAATCTAACCACCATCCCTTAACATTCAATGGTGTTACCATCGCTGAATCCCCCCACTATCAATACCCTAGGGGTTGTCATTGACCAGAAACTCAACTGGACTCATCACATAAACACAGTGGCTACAAGAGCAGGCCAGAAGCTAGGAATACTTCAGCAAGCAAATCACCTCCTGACTCCTCAAAGCCTGTCCACCATCTACAAGGCACGAGTCAGGAGTGTGATGGAAAAGTCCCCACTTGCCTGGATGGGCGCAGCCCCAACAACGCTCAAGAAGCTTGACACCGTCCAGGACAAAGCAGCCCACTTGACTGACACAATATCCATAAACATCCGCCCCCTCCACCACCGATGCCCAGTAGCAGCAATGTGTAATATCTACAAGATGCACTGCAGAAATTCACCAAAGATCCTTGGACAGCAGGTTTCAAACCCACAAGCCACTTCCATCTAAAAGGACAAGGGCAGCAGATATATGGGGACACCATCACCTCCAAGTTCCCCTCAAGGCCACTCACCATCCTGACTTGGAAATATATCGCCATTCCTTTACTGTTGCTGGGTCAAAATTCTGGAATTCCCTTCCTAATAGCATTGTGGATGAACCCACAGCAGGAGGACTGCAGCAGTTCAAGAAGGCAGCTCACCACCACCTTCTCAAGGGGCAATTAGGGATGGGCAAGAAATGCTGGCCAGCCAGTAACACCCACATCCCACAAAATGAATAGAAAAAAAATCCCAAACTAATCCCTGTTGCTCTCAATATGTCTGTTCCTGTTATTATCTTCTTACGTTTGGACTCATTATATAAATTTTATAATCAGGTTTTGATAGTTGAGGACTGGAAACCAAACTAGTGCAAACTAATTGGGGTATTTACACCATTTACAGAAACATTGTTTAGCAGGACTCCATTAGAACCTCCTTCTTTCTGGCCTCAGCACCATGTGATCTGACATCTTCTGAGGATGCATCTTAACTATTAGTTTAACAGCTATAACCTCCTCATACTACACCTCCCCCTAAGTTTTTCATTATTATTCTCCTACTCCCATCAGCCCCATTCCAAAGTCACCTCTGAGTCAGCTGGAAAGCCACTGAGGGATGGACCAAGGTGCCTGACTTTGTCCTCACTTGTCTCGGAGGAGAGTTAGGAAAACAGGCATCCAGTGGGGAGGTGAGGCGACAATGAGGGCGGTCACAGTTATTTCCTGCTCATCTGGGCTGTCTTGAAAGGCCAGTAAAATCTGTTTGCTGGGAGGGGGGCAAGGCATCAAATAGCAGTCTGTTCCATCCAATGATATAATGGTTGGAAGAATTGGAATGAGGATGAAGCAGATCATGACCAGGTCAGTGCTGGTCATGGAACCAGAGGGTGGGCCATTGGCTGTTCCTGCACCTTGAAGGTTGAAGGTGACTATATTGCTGTACATTAGCATGTTCTTCCTGCTGGTCAGTCTCTGTGGTGGGTCTTTAAGAGGGATTTGTTCTGTCCTGCTTCTGTTGAAGAGGGGTGTTGCAAACCTGGTGCTGAGGTGTCTGCTCCATGGAAAGCAGAGTAAATAGCTTTGGGATAACACAGTTTGGAGCTGGAGAGACACAGCAAGCTTGCATCGGCAATTAGACAAATAAAAACATGAGTGGGTAGAGTCAGGCTCACACACAGACCCAGGGCTTTAGTTTTGCTTTTAGTTGTTACAGTTGGGTGGGTTTTTGGAATTGAAGCTGCTAGATACAGCTCTCTCTCTGCTGTTGCAAAAAGTTTGAGTTCTCTCTCCGCTGCTAGATTCCTTCTGTCGATGTTCCTTCTCTTGGACTGGAAGAGATAGCAAGTGAGGGAAATCTGTTTTGCTGAATTTGCCTTTGACAAGGGTGCCTTTATGTGATAAAAACTGAAAGAACTGCGGATACTGTAAATCAGGAACAAAAACAAAAGTTGCTGGAAAAACTCAGGCAGCATCTGTGAAGAAAAAAATCAAAGTTAACGTTTCAGGTCCGGTGACCCTTCCTCAGTTCTGAGCCGAAACGTTAACTTTGATTCTTTTTCTTCACAGATGCTGCCAGGCCTGCTGAGCTTTTCCAGCAACTTCTGTTTTTGTGTCTTTATGTGATGCTGCTATATTGAAACAGTAGATGAGTAGTAGTTAAAAAAAATTGTTACATATTTCAATGGAGTTAAAGTTATTCCAATACTTGCTTTTATTGTTTGTATTTTAACTATGGTGGAAGAATAAAGTGTGTTTTGCTTAAAGCCTAGTTGTGTGACCAATTGAATTGCATCTGGAACACAGCACTTTACACTTTCTTTTAAATACGATGAAAGTTAGGGTCTAGGTTACCTTGTTGATATATTTTAAGGGGGGATTGGTTTGGACCATAACTGTGGTACCTGGCTGGATAGCATGTGAAGATTCAGGAGCTGAGTATGTGACCCCTGTACCTATCTGGATCTCAGGAGGAATCAGATTGTTGTGCCGAGGTGTGAATGTAACTAAGTGAGGCCAGATCAGTGAACAGGGCATTGAGTATACATTCAGACCAACTACTGACTTGTGGTGAAGTGTTGGCATGTAATACGATTGGGTGAAGCCATTAGCAAATGGTGAGCTGTTGCCTAAAAAAAAAAGTCTTTTGTTGTGAAAATTTTGTTAGAATTGCCATCCAGGTGCAGCCTTTTCAGTTGTTTGATCTGTGGATATCAGGAAGAATAGTCACCAAACACAGTCCATGTTGAGGTAGTCCCACAGACAGGAGGGCAAACAGGAAGA